TTTCATTTGATAAACACGTTTTAGATTGAATGGTAATTTATAATCAGTCACAAGAACGTCGAATCTGAATCACTTGAACATTATCCTTACCTTAGGGTTAAAAACGCATGTATGAATCAAATATAAAACACTTTACGTACCAGTTATAAAGTAAAAGTTAGCATTATCCTTACCTTAGGGTTAAAAACGCATGTATGAATCAAATATAAAACACTTTACGTATCAGTTATAAAGTAAAAGTTAGTATTATCCTTACCTTAGGGTTAAAAACGCATGTATGAATCAAATGTAAAACACTTTACGTATCAGTTATAAAGTAAAAGTTAGTATTATCCTTACCTTAGGGAGCGTTTCCAACATCATATCAATCATAGCAGCTTTGTTGTATTCCTTAAAAGCATCAGCCTTCTTGGCCATTTGTTCGGCTTCAGCCTTGGCCTTGGCTTCGATGGAGAATGCTTCAGCTTCACCTTTCAGCTGTCAACACATTTCAAAGAAAGGAATTATGCTTTTGTTGAAATAAATCACACTTTATAAAAATTTAAAATTACATTCATGACATACACGGACTGCACGGAAACTTTGATTTATGTTTATAACATCTCTTGGTAATATATCAGCAGTTCTAATTCGATGACGAGGAACCCACTTTGAGACTAATAATGACTGGAGACGGCTTTAATGGGTAATGAAGAAAAACTTTAATATAAGTTTAACATAACAGCAAATGTACAACGTTTCGACACGGTTTTGTCATCATCAGGTAAACTTATATTAAAGTTTTTCTTCATTACCAATTCAAGCCGTCTCCAGCCATTATATAAGCAGTTCTGTTTAACAACCAAAATGACACAAAATTTACTTTTCCTACTATCAAAGTGCCTCAATATAGCAGTATTAAAAAAGTAATTATATTACAATAAAGTATCAAGTGTTCAAACATACACTTTCACAAATTGCTTTTGAAATAAAAAAAATCAAACAACATAAGGAGAAACGACTGTTGTTTAACATTTCTTAAAGTTTTGGAATATTTACAGTAACAACGTTTAACCAGCATCAAATGGATATGTTATAAAGTAAAATCCTGGGTCCATAAATGTTAATCTTCATAAATATACAATATCTCACGGTTTCAGTCTGTCGAATGTTCGATGTCCTATTACAAAATTTTGGCCTGTTGTGTAATGATAAAAAAACTACTACAAATGACAGAATAAATGCTAAGTTTTACGTATATATAAAATACCAAAAATGATCTTGTTGTACAGTACAGTTTTTGTGTAAAGTTAAATTTACTTGGGAAATTATTTGAAAGATATTTGGTAATTTTATATACAGCAATACATTTTGATAAAGATTTCGCATTAACCTAGATTTGTATGGTTGATATGTGACAATCAAAGAATTAAACCAAGGACACCCTTGCTAATATATATGTATGCACTATGTACATGTAGCTGATCTGGGCAGCTGGGCCAACATAAAGTAATGACTAAAATTTAACGGTGTGGATCCACGTAAATTCTTGACAGTCTGATTTAGGTTGCTTCCCCCAGCCCCCCTAAATATCTGCCACCAGAAACAATTATATTAAAAGAATAGTTATATTAAACTTTCTTTTGCAAATGTTAACAAATAAATTTGTTTTGGCCATAAACACTGAGTTAATACTTACTCGAACTGCTTCAGCTTCAGCTTCTGCCTCCAGGATGACACGGTTTCTAAAGAAAGGGACTAATCTTGAGCACATAATTTAAACAACTCACTAAAATTTTCCTTGAAGATTTAGAAAAAAGAAGTTCTTTAGAATTTATCAACTGTTCTTCATATTATTTATTATGAACTTCCGTAAAGGCCTAACATCAAAGGAGTGTGAAAATAAATGCATATTTTTAGTACATACATCCAATATTCTTCACTGCATCATAAACGCATAATTGTAAGAAATAATACTCATTTTAAATATTATTGAAAAATAATGTTTTAGTGAGTTCTATATATGTATATCATAATAAACTAAACATTTTTACAAAAAAGACACATAATTTTAAACATACAGATAAATATTTGTAAAAAATTTTCGAATAAAAGAATTCTCACCTCAGGCTATAGATGTTATTACCCCAAAGTGGTGGAATTATAAAGCAATAAATATACATATTTATATAACAATTTGTCTGAAATATTAGTACAGCATGACAACTAACGTCTCTATGTAAAAACAACCCACTTGTTGGCTTCAGCTAGTTTTTCTAGCCTAAACTTTTCAGCCGCGGCAGGACGTTGCACTGTGGCATCAAGCTCTTTTTTCTTGCGAAGAATTTCCTGCTCTTGTACTTGGATCTGTTGGGTTCGCTCCACTACCATCACCTGCATCTGCTCTTCCATAATATGTTGGCGAGTCTTGGCCGCTTGCAGACTGTAGGCCATGTCTGCTTCTGCTTTCTAAGTGAGATGGATTGACCAATAATAAAAGATACTCGTAGACTAAAGCTAAATCGTGTGTGATAAATTATACAAATAACACTTCTCCCAAAGGTTTCTGTTTGTATTAAAATATATTGTATGTAACTGTAAGGCCAAACTTTTAACGTGTTTCCGAAACAGGGTGAAAATACACACAATTATACTGACTGTGCATTAAAAATAGAGCTGGGAAATTAGTGAAGTTAGAAAAATCAATTAACCTTCAAGTTCGTTAATTAATTACATTCAACTAATCAATTATTTTCATGTGAGACTTAGGTAGTTGGAATAATTGAAATAGTAATAGACAGAAACAAATTTCCATTAATTAATTATTTACGCGAGTCTCAACACTAATCGATGAAGCTGAACGGTTTTTGAATTAATAAAAAGTTATAAGGAAAAATCACGACGTTAGTAATTTGATTATTATGTTGATTAATTATATTAATTGCCCAGATCTAATTAAAATTAAATCCATTATGTTTAAAACCGAGAGAAAACTTGTTCCCTTATGATAACATTGTGTTCTAAGAACAACTGCCACTAATACATTAAGAATGAATATATTTTACACATTCCTAAGGTTCATTTAATTCTTAGATACTCTACTAAGTTATAACGTTCTAACATATTAATTACACTGAAAATTAACAAGGTTTATGAGATTTTGCCAGTTTATGTCATGTTATCACAAGGAACGTTAGTGTCTTATAGAAAACTATGCTGCAGAATAATTGTCAAGATGCACGATCATCAGACAGAATATGACTGGACAAGATGCACGATCATCGGAGAGATTATGACTGGACGAGATAACATGGACTGTAATGACATGATGAAGTTCTAAGTTTATTTTTATATAAAATACTCAACCCCTCTACATTAGAAGAATCTTTCAATTATCTATTTATTAATTACTCTATTGAGTCATTAAACCATCCATTCATCTTATTTAAAAAGAAGTTTTCTTACTTTATGTGATCAGAAATATTTAATATACGCTGCACAGTCGAGTAGCAGCATATCAACAGAAAGAAAACACATTAAGTGAAAAGCCTTTCAAACATCCAATACTGTTGTACAAAACATTAATTACCAATGCATATACAATATAAAAGACAGTAGACATTAAATTTCTTCTGATGGCTATTTGTAAGCACAAAGAAAAATTAATTTTGAAAATTTATACCGTTGTGTTTATTTCCAAATCATACGTTGCTTTCTTCAGTTCGAAGTCTCTCTGGGCTTTCGCTATTTCAGTATCGTTTAAGTACCGAGAAGCCAGCCGTTCCTCTTCAGCTAGAGCATTCTGTTGTAAATAACCATGACACTTGTTAGTAATAGGTAATAAATAACGTATTGTTAGAAACAAAGGAATACAAGTTACACTTTAACTACTACTATTACACAATGAAATTAAAGAAAGTGTTAGGGTTGATCATTCTGAGAGAATTAAAGAGAAATAATATTTGACCTATTCTGTTAATGTCTGGGATTTTAAAATTATTCAACCTTTAACATTAAATAATTCAAACCAATTCTTTTGTGTAATTAACAGTCATGACTCACTTGTTTCACGCAATATTTAGTGCATTTTGTCAAACATAATATATATTGTTATTAGCTTAGAAATACTTAGTTAATTACTGTACATTTCTAGAAAACACCAGTTTAAGATAATTTGCTCAACTGACAACTCATAGCATTGCAGAGAAAACTTTAATCGATAAAAAAACTGCATACATGAAAAATATTCTGTATTTTATGAAGTGCTAGTCCTAATTTAGCCAATTCAATTTGTTTTTATAAATTGATTAATAAGACAAAACACTTCATCTAATTAATTTAGTTTTTAAATAATTATTCAGCACTTTTAGTCACCTATACATAACACAAGTTTCTTAGCCACCTATACATAACATAAGTTTCATAGCCACTTATACATAACACAAGTTTCTTAGCCACCTATACATAACACAAGTTTCTTAGCCACCTATACATAACACAAGTTTCTTAGCCACCTATATATAATGCAAGTTTCTTAGCCACCTATATATAATGCAAGTTTCTTAGCCACCTATACATAATGCACGTTTCTTAGCCACCTATACATAACACAAGTTTTTAGCCACCTATACATAACAAGTTTCATAGCCACCTATACATAACACAAGTTTTTAGCCACCTATACATAACACAAGTTTCATGAGAGAATTTTATAAACATTTTCCTTTTTCCTAATATTCAAAAGTTAAGAAACAGTAGCTCCAGGTGTCGATTTTTACTTCAGGGGTTGTTTAGGCTAGGTATGCATATCTTAGAGCCCTCAGCTTTGACTTATTTAGGTTAACAAATTTATGTCGACTGAGGGCTCTAAGATATGCATACCTAGTCTAAACAACCCCTGAAGAAAACTTTCACTTATTTAGGTTAACAAATTTATGCGAGTTTTTTAAGCTAGATGTTTTGCTAGCAGTGTCAGTAATATTTCCAGAAATCTGAATAGTTTAAATTTTAGTAATAATTGTCTGATTTTTCATTTGTGTGACCCCCCTTTTAAGGTAAGTTAATCTGTTGCCATTCACTTTCGTTACCATAAACCCAAGATTACCATCAAATGTTCAGTCAGCTCTGGTTAAGCAAAATAATAAACCGAGAAACCTATAAAAAAAAACTTCATAAATAAACTTTACATGAAAGAAAAACAGTTTAAAAATATCCTATGTTTATAATTTTGTTGAAATACACTACACTTGTAAACAACAACAGATTAATAGTAGGATTTTTATGTTGAAAATGATGAGCACCTGAAACAAGTAATATCAAACTTGTTCAAATGGATATAAATAATCCTGTTCTTATCTTGTTTGACAAGACTTCTTTATTTAATGATTATTTTTGTTCTAAAATTTTGTTTGTTTGTTGATAAGCACAAAGATACAGAATGGGCTATCTGTGCTGTGCCCACCATGAGTATCAAAACTCCAGACTTGCCCCTGAAATGAACTTCTGTAACTCATTCAAAATTTAAGTCTAATAAAGATGAATTTAAACCTTGTAGATGGAACCGAGTGTTTACAATGTCTAATAAGCTTTTAACTTGTTTATGTATATCTTAGCTAATTCATTAAAGCTTTCAACAATTCACTCTGTTCGTATATATATATACACACACACACACACACACACAAGATGTGTATCGGACATAAAGACATCAATGACACGTACTATGATTCACAATAGCCAAATCGTAAATTACAATACCTTTTTTATTACTTTATTTATTCATGAAAGTCTACTTGTTGTGCAGAAAAGGGCTGGATGTAAGCTGGCTTTGGGATCGTATAGAGCAAAATAATTTGGATATGATTTAAAACTATGGATATATGACAATATATCATTTTTAAGATAATCATCACATTGTTTAATATCACTAAGGTCTTATAAATAAGTGTATGCATATATACTTGAGTAGATGACGTCATCTGGTGATGACGTAGATGTCGGTAAAAGATAGGAACATACAAGTTCTTTTAATCATACTATTAAGCTACTGTGTACAATGGAGTTGGAGTTCATAAATTCCTGAGCAAAGCCTAGTGTGTCTGTAATGTCATTCAAACAGTTCAAAACACAACAAAGTAAGAGTTACAGAAGTAAGTTTTTAGTGAGTCTTGAGGAAAAAATGCTTTCAATTAAAAAAGGAAAAGAGGCAACACAAGATTAAAGAGCTCAATCATTTCTCATATCACAACATTTTAACGTGTTCCATCTTTATAAAACTGTCAAGATCATCCGGAGAATGACACATGTAATAAGATAAGAGCACTAGCTATCAAATTTTGTCAATTTAATATAGGAAGTCTTTATATAAAAATGATTATTTATCTGGAAATATAATGAATCCCTCGGCTCACGTACACTAATTTGAGAGTCCCTTTTGGCTTCAGCCTCACCAATACGAGCATCTCGCTTCACTTCAGCCGTCCGTGCCATCCCTAAAGCTTTAAGGTAACCCTATAAAAACAGAAACGACTTGAAAAAAAAAAAGTCTATAAAACAAAAATGTTTTACTAACCAGTATTACATATAACAAATGATCATTAAAAAAAAGGGTCTTATCAACACAAACATTATCTATTCTTTTGTGTGTCCTAAATTAGATATTCATACGTACAGTAAATTTTTAACGGTGAATTAATTGGTGTACCATCTAAACCAAGATGATTATCTAATGTTTATGTCTCATATACCTGATCATCACTGATGTCTTTAATAGTGTACGACACGACAGTAATACCCATATTCAGTAGGTCAGACGATGCAACTTCAAAAACGTTTGTGGAGAATTTCTTTCGATCCTTATATATTTCCTGAAATAAGAAAAAGAATTGTGTATCAGTGTAACAGAAAAGTGTCGTCAGATAATACTAATTCAGAAACACCTGAAATATACTTTTGCATTTAAATTTTTTTGGACAAAAAATATTAAAATGCAACTTAGTAAGGTCTAATTTAAAAATGTTTTGATAGTAAATTCCATTTTTTTTTTAATGTTCTGTGTGTGTGGATATATAGACACATACACACAAAACAGAGTGGAAAACCTGTATGTTCATCTAACTGGCTGAACCAATTTTGATGAAATTTGATAGAGAAACTTTGGTGGACTCTCAAAGGTCAAGTTTAAATAGATAAGCAATTGGATAAATGATTAGTGTGCTACGATAATTTAAATTTTAACCCTTGCTTCTGCCTTTGTGCCAACTTCCCAAACTTTGATCGTTCATTTTCAGTGGGTCTCTAATGCACATAGCTCCACAATGGGCTTTCTGTGCTATGCTCACTGTAGGTATTGAAACCTGGTTTTAAGAGTTATAAGCCTTCAAATTTACCACTGAGCTACTGGAGAGCAAAGTATTTAAATAATAATCATATAAATTTTGTATATGTTTCTAATCTTTATATCTAAATAAAGGTTTATTTAAATTTTTAGTTTCTTAAGTTTATTGCTTGTTCAAGTGTTATTTATAACTTAATAGAAACCACAATATCAAAATTCTAGTGTTTTGGATATGCAGTGCTATCAGATTTTTGAAGTAGAAGGGTTTTTTAAAAGAATTAGGATGATGGGGATCTCAGGGTCCTACCTTTACTTTAGTTCATAAATTTAGCCAATTTTCAAAAACTGACAATTGTTAACTCAAGTAGCCAATAGTCAAGCAAACAAATGTTGAGGGGAAGTCCCTAGCCTTTAGAAACAGCACTGATTATTTACATTGATGGGATGTATGTTTAAAGTTTCAAGTGAAGTTTTTTTCAAGCATATAGTACAGACCGTGATTATTTATAAAACATGATGTTTCTCAAATGTTTAGGCAAGTAATAATACGAATAACGCAGGTTTTCTCCAAGACATATTTTATAATTGAAAAAAATTCATAATTACTTCAACAGTATATGAAAAAAATCCTTATCACAAACAGGTCTAGTTCTACACAGGTGGCAAACCTTGACATAGGTGATTATTTATAAAACATCTTGATCAATAAATGTCTATTAACAAAATAACAAAACACATAAACAACAAAATATAAAACAAAAATACTATAATTCCTAAACTACGTATCCTACCTATAACACATTCACAAACCCTACCCATCACATTGTCACTGGGACCAAGGCGAACAAATGTCTTGAACGTTCGCTGCTAAGTGGAATCAAATGATTCTCATAGTCATGACTTGTCACTCACCCCCCCACTTATAAACATATATTCTTTATTTTTTAAAAGTGTGACAAGTTTTTAACTTTGTCATATTAAAATCCAAAATCCCATTTAAATTTGTTTCCCATTTCAAAACTGAGTTCATAATCTATTTTTTTTTGTGAAATTATATGGTGCCGTTTTGTCAATTTTGAAGTAAGTTTTATAGAGACGAGACTTTATTTTAAGTACTGAACACAACTTAATCATGTGAAGTAAGTTCGGAACAGTTCAGTCCAAGTTTTGTCGAGTATCGTAAAGTCACTCACTGTCTCTTATGTTATGTATTTAACCAAAGTAGAAACTGATAAGAATAGACACTCGTTACAACGTCATCAATAGATTTTGCTAAAAAACCTTACTTTTTACTATACAGCAAGAGCTGCAATAGGCCATGATTATTTTTTATACATACAGTGTATCTGTTGTACTAGAAATTCTTCTATCATTAATGTTGACAGTAATAAGAAGATATATCTGTACTAAAAGATCTGTTATACTTAAGATACTGACATCTAATTTTTATAAGGAGTGAATGTGTCTTGCAACTGAAGAAGATTAGCTGGATTATTGTTGACCCGAATCCAAGATCATCACTGATTTGAATCCAAACAAACAGGTTTTGTGAAGGTAACAACATAGCTATCAAACAAACAACTGGATGGCTGCATTAGTTACAAGGGTTTGTAGAAACATAACTGTTCATGAATTAAACTACATAACAGAAAGGGACACCTGGATATGGTAGTATTGTCATGTAAAAGTACACACAAAGAATATGTAATTCAATTTTAACTGAAAGGACAAATTACACAAGTTACAATATAAAACCAACAAAGAAGTAAAACTACACACAAAGAATATGTAATTCAATTTTAACTGAAAGGACAAATTACAAAAGTTACAATATAAAACCAACAAAGAAGTAAAACTACACACAAAGAATATGTAATTATATTTTAACTGAAAGGACAAATTACAA